CACAAAATTAGACATAACACCATATTGATATTTGTCAATTTTTTCTTTAAAAACATTTTTCTCTTTAAGTTGAATCATATACCATTCGATAGGGCTCGTTGAGCTCCACAAAACAGAATATATGAAATTTCTCTTTCAATTCAATATAGAATCGAAAAAGTCTAAATACTGTATTTTTTGACCTTACATTTAGTTTGGTCTATCTAGTATTTTAACCAAATGTTCATGTCATAAGATGACTTCCAGAAAAAAATAATAACGTCTTGTAGTCCATTTAATTCTGTATCGAATCATATATTGGACATTGCTTTCAAATGTTCTAAAGTTTACATGTTCAGACTCACAAGGTAAATACCGACACTATGTTCAGTGGTTATGTACGAAAGTGAGTTACCTCTTTTCTATATCAGGCGTGAATAATTCAAGAAGCGAATCAAATACTTTTCTTTGATATCATTACATGATTCGATAGAGCTCGTCGAGCTCTATAAAATTGGCTATAGTCAAAAATTTCTAAGCCATTATTTTGTGACAAAATTCACTAAAAACTATCTAAATAATATACAAAAAATTGTATTTTTCATATCTTTGTTTAAAAAAAGCCAGTTTTTCTCGAATAAATTCAAGGGTGTGGGTGCGGGTGTGGGATGTGGGTGTGGGGTGTGGGCAAGGGGGAAACACCGTACTTTTGTACTTTAAAGTACTTCAAAGTACTTCAAAGTACTTAAAGTACCTTAAAGTACCTTGAAGTACCTTAAAGTACTTTAAAGTACCTCAAAGTACCTTAAAGTACTTCAAAGTACTTCAAAGTACCTTAAAGTACTTCAAAGTACTTCAAAGTACCTTAAAGTACTTCAAAGTACCTTAAAGTACCTTAAAGGACTTCAAAGTACATTAAAGTACTTTAAAGTACATTAAAGTAGTTTAAAGTACATTAAAGTACATTAAAAGTACATTAAAGTATCTTAAAGTTGGGATGTCATTTTCCTGCTGATTTAATATAAATTTCAATTATGAGTAATTAATATGAAATTTAACTCATTTGCTTTTTATAATTTATTAGATACAAATTAAATTATACTATTTTTTACAAGGAACCTAGGGGTATTTTCTATAACTTTTCATGTGCTATCTAGGAGCAGTCTTTGTATCTCTTTGAAGACTATCCAGGGGTAATTCTCATAACTCTTCAAGGCCCATACTATAAGGGAACCCATAGGTCCTCAAGGCCTACACTATAGAGGTAGTCTTAGATCATCAAGCCCTATGCTATAAGGGAACCCTTAGGTCCTCACATGCTATACTATAGGGGTACCCTTAGTCCTCAACAGCCATACTATAAGGGAATCCTTAGTAGGGATGCAACGCTGACGATCATTCACCGGTCCAAACCGCTAACCGTAGGTACGGTTACCGCTCTAACTACGATAACCGTAGATACGGTTATCGGCCCATCTGCGATAACAGTAGGTACGGGTACCGGTCTAACTAAGATAACAGTAAGTACGGTTATCAGTGCAAGCTCGTTTTCACGAAGGAAAGAGTTTTTTAAGAAAATAACGACTTTTTATAAAAGTTAACGAAAGCAAATCGGGTCGAAGAATCCGAATCTGAAGTTAGTTTTTCGATCTGAGTTTTCATTGGTCAGAAAATGGACCAATCAGAAACGAGATTTTTTATTTTGAGGCTTTTCGACCTTTTGATAAAACTTTGCAATAGGTTATCGATATCCAGAAATTCGAATCTGAAGTCAGTTATTCTGTCTGAGCTTTCATTGGTTAAAAAATAGACCAATCAGAAGTGAGCTTTTTCTCCTCGACTGAAGGGACGGTGATATGAAATAAATAAAGCTTAACGGACTCATAGCGAACGCCGAAAATATTTAATTGGCTGAACTGCCTGCCTGAAGAAACTTCATATATATTTGATATTATGGAGATTATCGGACCTATAATCACACAAACGCATCTGAATGCGTTACTATCCCAATGACTGTGAGGTCACAAACTCATTTTATTTCATATGATCCTCCCTCCAGTGGAGGGAAAATAGCTCGTTTCCGATTGGTCCATTTTCTGACTAATGAAAGTTTAGACAGAAAAAATGACTTTGGATTCGGATTCCTGGATAACAATAACCTATTGCAAGGTTTTACCAAATGGTCGAAAAACGTTAATATAAAAAAGCTCACTTCTGATTGTTCTATTTTCTAGCCAATGAAAGCTCGAATCGAAAAACTAACTTCAGATACGGATTATTCGACCCCGATTTACTTTCGTCAACCTTTATAAAAAGTCGTTATTTTCTTAAAAAACTCTTTCCTTCGTGAAAATGGGCTTGGACTGATAACCGTACTTACTGTTATCTTATTTAGACCGGTAACCGTACCTACGGTTATCGTCACCGTTGCACCCCTAACCCTTATGTCCTCAAACCCTATACTACAGAGTTATCCTTAGGTCTTCAGAGCCTATACTATAACGATAGCCTCAGATCCTCAAGTGCTATACTATAAGGAAATCCTTAGGTCCTCAAGACCTATACTATAAGGAAACTGTTAAGTCCTCAAGTGCTATACTTTAGGTTACAGTAAATGCCTTGTGGACCTCAGGTTATCCATATAGTACAGCTGTTAACGACCTAAGGGTACCGTTACGATATAGCACTTGAGGGTATAAGGGTATCCCTGTAGTGTATCACGTGAGGACTAAGGATTCCCTTATTGTATAGGCCTTGAGGACCTAAGGGTATCCCTATAGTATAGCACTGGATGAGCTAAGGGTTCCCTTATAGTATAGCATTTGAGCATCTATGTGTACACTTATAGTACAGCACTTGAGGACCTAAGGGTATTTCTATACTATAGGCTGTGAGAACCTAGGGATATCCCTATTGTATAGCTTGTGAGGACCTATGGATTCCCTTATAGTATAGACCTTGGGAACCAAAGGTACCGTTATAGTATAGCTGTTGAGGACCTAAGGGACACATGTACTATAGCACTTGAGGACCTAAGGGTACCCCTATACAATAGGGTATAAGGATCTAAGATTCCCCTATAAGGTAGAACTTGAAGACCTACAAGTACCTCATGAAACATAGGATTTAAGGCCATAGGGGCAGTTCTATAGGATAGGTATTCGAGAAGGAATAAAAAATGACGCGTAAATGAAAATGGAAGAACCGCAAACTTTCTGTTACTAGTTACTTGGTAATGGTAACTCCCCCTACCCCTAGATAGCCGTTGAAGAGTTATGAAGACTACCCGTAGATAGGCCTTGAATAGTGATGAAGACTACTCGTGGATAGGCCTTGATGTGTATAAGCACATTGAAGTATCTTAAAGTAGCTTGAAGTATATCAAAGCACAATAAAGTACTTTGAAGTACATTAAAGTACTTTAAAGTACAAAGTACGGTGTTTCCCCCTTGGCATCACCTCGAATAGGCCTTGAAGAGATAATAAGAGTGCCCCTAGATAGCCCTTAAGAAATATCAACACTACCCCTGGATAAGCCCTGAAGAGACATCAATAGTGCCCCTACATTGTCTTTGAAGAGTTATGAAGACTACCTGCGGATGGCCCTTGAAGAGTTACAAAGACTATCCCCAGATAGGCCTGAAAGAGTTATGAAGATTACCTCGAGATAGACCTTGAAAAGATATTAAGAATACTCCGAGATAGCCCTTGAAGAAATATGAACACTACCCCTGGATACGTCTTGAAGAGTCATAGAGACTGTCCCTAGACAGTGCTTGAGCAAATGTGAAGAGTACCCTAGACAACTCTTAAAGAGTTATAGAGAGTGTCGCTAAATATGCCTTGAACTATATAAGTACATTAAAGTAGTTTAAAGTACATTGAAGTACTTCAAAGTACTTTAAAGTACATTAAAGTACTTTAAGGTATTTTAAAGTACTTTGAGGTACTTTAAAGTACTTCAAAGTACTTCAAAGTACTTCAAAGTACACTAAAGTACTTCAAAGTACTTCAAAGTACTTCAAAGTACTTTAAAGTACCTCAAAGTACTTTAAAGTACCTTAAAGTACTTTAAAGTACAAAGTACGGTGTTTCCCCCTTGGGTGTGGGTGTGGGTGTGGGTGTGGGTGTGGGTATTGGTGTGGGTGTAGAGTGTGGGTGTGGGGTGTGGGTGTGGGTGTGGGTGTGGGTATTGGTGTGGGTGTAGAGTGTGGGTGTGGATGATTCTTCAAGAACAACCCACATCCACAGCCGTACCCATCCCACACCCACACCCCACGCCCAAAAGAGTCCGATTGATCGATGCATTGTGCCATACTACCTTGACGATAAATACGACCACTAATGTAATTTGTTTTATTTAAAATAGTTCTTCTGCTATTAGAAACGTGAAGAAGATTCGGTCACGGCGCCAAATATTAGATGCCCTTTTATTCGATTGTTCTATACGCGATCTCTAACATGAATGAGTGTACTAACAGATCAAAACATGACGGGAGAAAAGGAGAGAAGAGAAAGCGAAAGATGAATAGACCGAAAGCAGACACGAATAACTGAAGTGATGTGAAGGCATGTCAACAACATGCCTGTAACAACAACTAAACGTATTTGTGATAATATCTATATATAATGGAGATGATTATTATGGACTTTGTATTTTTCTTTTTATAAAACTGATGAATAAATAAAAGAAAATTTTTAACCTAATGAAATTTGGATAAATAAAAATTTGTTTTATAACTTCAAATGATATTATAGACTTTTATGATAGATATCCAGAAGATGAAACGATACAGATTGATGAAATAATTTCTCTGAAATTTGCAGAGTCATTTGATTGTATATAAGATTAAATGACCATTATACATTGCTTATCCCTTTTCTATCTATAGTTGTCTCCATTGGATGTTGATCTCGACAATCTGTTCTTCTTTTTTTGTCTGAATAACATATTAAAGTGTATTCGAAGTGAAGAATTCATTTCATAAACAAATTCATTTATTTTAGATTGGAAAATAAGTATGGATGAAGTTCAACGAAAATTAAGTTTTGATGATTTATTTGAAGAAAAAACAATCGAATTTCTTAGTAAATTATTTGTCTAATGAATATAAAATTATTTCCATTTTTTATTTTAACAGATGAATTCGATCAATCTATGATTTGTTTTGAAAATCTATCCAATGAATTATTATGCGATATATTTGATTATCTTGATGGATATCAATTATTTCAAGCATTTTCAAATCTTAATTCTCGATTTGAACAACTTATTCATTCTTCCTGTGTATTAATTAAAACTTGTTTTTGTATATATCAAAATAATAAAGTTCTGAACACGTTTGAACAATTTATATTTTCCAATCGACATCAAATATTTTCCATATATTTAAATTTTATATTACAAAATAGTTATTTGTTTTCGTGGTATTTATTCGATTCATCGTTTGATCGACTTGAATCTCTCTTGTTTAAAGTCATTCAATCCAATACACTGATGCCGATGCTAGACAATTTATCTTCTTTACCACATCTTTCCTCATTAACAATCGAAACATACTGTGTTGAAGAACAAATTAATGATATCTATCAATTGATATTTATCTTACCTAAATTGAGATATTATCGAATTTCCTCTTTTAATCATCATCGCTCAATTACACTTCTAATGGCTATGAATAATCAATTCAGTCCTGTTGAATATCTTGTTATTAATCGTTATTGTTCGTTGAACGAACTTGAATCTTTAATTTCTTACACACCACAACTTCGTTGTTTAACTCTTCATAAAACAAAAACGAATGGTTTAAATGTGACGGTATTATCATCAACAATTACATTAGCTAATCTACAATCGATTTCTTTGGATTTATGTCAAGCAAGATTTAATGAACTGGAATTATTCATTACAAAAATATTTTCAAATTTAAAAAGTTTATCTATTATTGGATCACGAGATATCACTTTTCTTAATGCTTATCGATGGAAACAATTAATTTTAAATCATTTTTCTCAATTAGAAAAATTATATTTAACCTATTATGATCGTATGGATAATAATAATCAATATCCAATATATACTGGACGAGTAAATCAATTTTCTTCATCATTTTGGATTCAACGAAAATGGATATTTCATGTGCAAATTAAAGGAATATATAACAAATATATGATTTATCCATACAAGTATATCGATGAATATTTTTTATAGAAAATTAATTCTTCTGTTTTTTTTTCCAGAAAACCATGCTATGATTATATAGAAGATAACAATATCGAATATTCAACAGCACCTAGTTTAATGTTAGCAATTGACCTTAATGGTCTTTATCTTGAAATGTTATTCGAAAGAATCAAATGTGTGTTAACAATGACACAAATATATCATTTGGAAATTATTCAAGAACATATAGTACCCTGTATGTTAGGGTGTGCATGTGGGTGTGGGGTGTGGGTGTGTGTGCGTGTGGGTGTGGAGTGTGGGTGTGTGTGTTGGTGAACAGGTGATTCAAACCCACACCCACACCCACCCACACCCACACCCACCCCACACCCACACCCCTCACCCACATCCACACCAACATCCCCACACCCACACCCACCCCACCCTACCCACACCAACCCACACCCCCACATCCCACCCACACCCACCCAAAGACACATAGTGCTTTTTTTCTCTTTCAACTATACAGATCATATATGAACAAGCACATATATACACGGAACGAAAGAATATAGATCATCGAGAGAAAAAGATAGAAAGAATGATATATATCTCAAGTACTTTGCCTGTGAAATGATTCTTAAAAATTTTTGCTGGGGATTTGGGAGTACCTTTTCCTCAAAATTAGATCATCATATTCAGCTTTTCACGCATCTTCGAATTATGTATTTTTTATTAGAATATCATGAGATTAAAAAAAATTTAGAACCAGCTGATATGTTTTGAGATATAACATGAAATCATACATATTATCAAATAATATAGATTTCATCGTGTCATTGATGAATGCTTTCGACAATTCATTTTTTTTTTAGAATTCAAATCGCATAGTTAATGCATAGAGGTTATCGATAAAGTGGTGATAGTGTTACTCTCATTGACTATATTTATGTTCAATATATAATTTGAAGCTGATTATATTTATATTTAAGGTTTAGTAATATTATTTGATACAGTGAAAACTCATATTGTATAAAGCGAAAAGTTTTCTCTCGCATGAATCATTTTTTAAGACTTTTTTGTACTCAAAACTTTTCTGTCATTAAATGTGGCACATTGGTTTTAACACTATCCATTTTTTACATGAGGATTTCAAGGTTTGTGCACTTCAGAAAGAAAACATGTTTTTGTATGTCATTACTCTGAAAATGACTCGTCGGTTAGCAGTATTTCTATCAGAAACATCAAAGATGATTGATTGAAATGCTTCGTTATTTCTAAAACTTCGTCTGAATATTAATCACACTTAAACAAACTCATTGAAAAACTTTTCTGTTAAACTTTTTTAAATTAATTATTCATTCATAAGTTTTTAATTCTAATGCATAAATTTTATTTGAATCGAAAAGTAAAAATGATCGTGAGAAAAAAAATTCAATATTGACAGATTATGAAAAAATCAAACTAATATTTTTTTTTAACAAATTAGTTTATTTTCGACTAAAGTTCTATCAATGATTTTCTCACAGTATTATAAATAAATTCATATATTTTTCAAACATATTTTTAAATGTTTTACGATCAAAAAATAGAATAGTCGATTGAATTTATTATGAATTTTTATTTCTTTTAAAGATTTCGATTATTTATTATTTCAAAAATAAAAATAATATGTTTTTTTTTAATATGTTGAGTATTTCCTTTAATTCCATAAGATAATCTATTTAAAAAAAAAATTATAAGTCTTTTTTATATGAATTTGATTATATACATTTCTTTCACACATATATGTCAAACAAATCATGGAAAGAAAAGAGTGAAAGCTGGAACATAATTCCATTGGCTCAAACGACTAAGGATAAGCTACATACACTTTTATATGTAGCATGTGAATGTAGCTTATCTCGGCCTGTGTTTTAACGTTTCTAGCGATTCCATTGGTTAATTCAGTTTTAACTTGTTCAATGTGATTGAGGCCTTATGACCTACTATTTATTCGGTTATCTAATGTGCCAATTGACTTTTTTTCTTTCTTGTCATTGTGATGAGCGGTGCATATCATGTATAAGTACCCAATGTGCATAAAATGAAAATCGCAATAAACACAGGAATATAATGAAGGTTTTGTTTTTCTTCTTTTTTCTTTAACTTTTAGTTTTTGAGAGTTCTAATCTATTAATAGAGAAGCTTATATTTATTGACTTCGTGATTGAAGAAATTATATTTAGACGTTTATTTCTTTTTTTGTTTTTTTTCACTCCCTATAAATAGATAAATTTACACTTACCACATTCGTTATTCGAGAAATCATCTGCAGTTATTCTCTTTTCTTTTATTAAGTTTTATATATTGGATGCAGTTATGATTCTTGATATACATGTGGTACAATTGACATTCAGTTCTTTCTTTTTCTTTAGCTGAAATATTTATTATGAATAAACTTTTCCTAATCAATGGTGTTATTGAGGCATATTATTTAACTAGTTCTTCTTTTTTATAGTACCTTGTACGATCAAGATCAACTTGCTATGATCGATCTTCTCTATCTTTTCTTATTTAGACATTGAGGATTAGGCCGGATTGGTCGATCTACTTCATTCCAAAACTTATATTCAGCTCTTTTTTGATAGCTAGTTTAACTTGATATTTAATATGAACTTATGGATATATGCACGGTTGCTAGATCTTCTGAGAAAAAGGGAAAGTTTCTGAAATGTGAATATTCATCTTATTTTTTATTGGTCCTTCTGATTTTGACATCTTCTCCTGCTTTGTCAGAATTTCGTACGTTTTAAGATCGCAACTTTGCTAGTGGAACCAAGCGCAATTATAAACCATCAGAACAATAAGGATCCTTCATGCCTTCCATGGTTCGTCTCATATTTGTCTATTAGCTTCAACTTGTCTCTCGGATAACCGCTTTTCTAATTATTCTCTAAATTATTACTAGTGAAGTAGATTAGATAAAATATGAAAGCTTGACATTAAATATCTTTATTGATAATGAAAAAAACAATATGAAGAACTAGACAGAATTATAGCATAGTATAAGATTTTTGAGTAGTTGAGTCCTCACAGTTTGATCTCACTTGACTACTAACTGAGCATCATACAAAATGCCAAGAAAAAAAACGATCGAAATCGAACATGAAAATTTTATATTAAACATAAATTTGACTATCTATGAAAGAAGATGGAAGAAGAGACAAACTGAGAGTCAATGTAGAACGAGCTATTTATGCAAGAAACAAGTATAGGACAAGCAGTAAGTAAACCGAATAATAAATCAATTCTACGACATCTTTTCTTCTTATCAACCATTAGTATTTTCTGAGTTATACAACTATTGAATAAATTGAAGTTGGATAAATTTCTTGTTTTAGTTCATTTTGTTGATTTGCATCATATTCTACATCACACAAATAAACATTACTTTGATGAATGGCATAAATAACCTGCGTGTAAAAGTCTTTGCACAAAGTCTTTCTTTGATTTTCGTCATGTGAATAGAAGCACTATTTGACATTAGCCATGGAAAGAAAATAAGCTCCAAAACACCAAAGATCTTTCATTGAGCATACGATGATAAAGACTCTGATGAAAAAAATCCTATACTCCAATGTACGAACTTATAAAGTCCTCTGTTTTTATACACCTTGAAATTCAAGTATCTCATTCTACGCATGCTATAGACATGTAATATTTTAAATTTGTTTGTTTGGTAGTGAGAGCTTTCATTTGACTCAAATATGGTCAATCTCCTTAACTACCAGTTGACGACCTTCCATTGTAAGATTTCTTTACTAAATATACAAAATTCAGAATAATTTATTAACTCTATATCATAGCTATATTCAAATAATGACCTACCTTAATATATATGGTTTAGTATTGAGTACTTGTTTAATCAATTTGTTGAAACATGCCTATCATAGGATACTAATATCGGCGCCAGAACTCAGTACACTGGGATGTTTTTTGAATAATTTTCGATAGAAGATTATAGGGAACACAGTTTTATGTAAAAACCAAGGCTTAAATAATCAGGTACAATAGGAGTGATTATTGAATCACTAGAAGAATAGGCTCGTTATTTGGTGAAATCTAAGCAGAACAAGCTGAAACTTTCCATATATATAGTCCTAGTGTAGTCCAATCTTTCCTAAAAATATTATCGATAAATTTTGTAATGATGAGGAATGGTGTGCCAATCATCATCTGGTCTTACATAAAGCTCTCATTCACTCGATATATTAGAAAATGACCTCAACTTTTGTATAAATAAATACCATAATCTAGACTTCATAACTATGCAATAATATCATAGTTTGATTATTTGAACGAGAAGAGACGGTGAAAACATTACTAAGTTCTGCATTTCTCTTGATAAAGTTGGGAAGATTTGTTGTAGAATACTTACTATATGAAAATCATTTCTTCGTCGAATTTTGGCTGTTCCCGTACATTTCTACGACCAAAGTACGATGTTATTGCATAGATATGAAGTCTAGATTATGGTAATTATTTATACAAAAGTTGAGGTCATTTTCTAATATATTGAGTGAATGAAAGCTTTATGTAAGACCAGATGATGATTGGCACACCATTCCTCATCATTACAAAATTTATCGATAATATTTTCAGGAAAGATTGGACTACACTAGGACTATATATACTGAAAGTTTCAGCTTGTTCTGCTCAGATTTCACCAAATAACCAGCCTATTCTTCTAGTGATTCAATAATCACTCCTATTGTACCTGATTATTTAAGCCTTGGTTTTTATATAAAACTGTGTTCCCAATAATCTTCCATCGAATGCTGAAAAGCACAGGTCTTTAACTTGTTCCTATCGAAAATTATTCAAACAACATCTGAGTGCACTGGTTTCTGGTGCCGATATTAGTATATAACGCTACATGCATGATAGACAGAAGTATATGATTTCATGACACTACAGATTGTATTTGTATTTGCGCAGCTCTGCAGTATTGAAGATGCTGCCTGTTCAGGAGGTCTTCTAACCGCTGTCAACGAAGTAACAATTGATGTTGTCCAAGCAAGAATTGAAAATTATTCTCATTCAATATACAAGCAGATTGAAAATATCCTAGACATTGGTTCGTGAACGGTCGATTCAATCATTCACGATTATTTGAAGCAACACAAAGTTTGTGCTCAATGAGTGCCTCACCAACTAATCAATGATCAAAAACAGTCGTATCGTCAATTTTATTATCAACTACTCAAACGATGTGAAGCGAGTCGATTCCATCGTATATTTGGCATTGTTACTGGCGATGAATCATGGTACCATCATTATGATTCGAAAACAAAAGAGCAGTCAAAATCGCAGGTGTCAAAAACTGATCCATGACCGACCAAAGTTTATCGGAACGTAAGTTCAGGCAAATAAATGATCCTGATTTTCTTCATGAAATCTGGACTAACCAAATCTATATCATTAGAAACTGGTGGTATGACTTCTTCCTGTTTTTGGAACTCAAAAAATCAACTACATAGAATTCAATTCGACGATGAAATTGCAATATTGAACATCTTATAGCGAACCATTAACACTGACAAAAGACGATTTCCAAAAATTGCTTCGATAACTGCTTTATTCAGATGCACAAGTGAGCTAAAGCTAAAGAACAGTACTTTGAAGAAAACACATCAGAATCAATCTTTGATTATTAGTCTGAAGAGTGAGTGAAAAAACTTTTGGAGTATCCTATGTAATTGTTTTTCAACATAATTGATTCCCAGAGAAACAATTAGTCTTATTTATTTCTGCATTTCGAATAGAAATTTTTGTATGTTGGCTATATGACAACTGTAGCAAATCAATACATCCCTTCCTGTCGTCCTTAACTCCTTAAATGTAAATTTTTATCTGCATAAAAATCAAAAATTGCACTATTTAGAACATCATTCGCAAACATATTTTCACGGAGACTTTAAAATGCAAGAAGGAACAAGCTAATTCTAGCCACTGGAACAGAAGAAGGAAGCAAAACTTCGACTGAGAATTTTATATTCATTATTTTCTTCGAAAATACATATCAGTTCTATTTTTAAAAAAAAGTTTATTAATTATCTTAAGTTGATACTATTTATATGTAAATACAATATGAAAAAATTACAGAAAAAGATAAACATGAAAGAAAATTGCATTGAGATTATTGCACAATAAGAAAAGAAATTGATTCATATTTCACCTATTTTACTTGATGGTATACGTTTTGGTATATCTTTTATATATATTTGAAAACGTGTTAGAGCTCGAGATGCTTTTCTATCAAAATTAATATTTTCACCAAATATTCGACACATAACATTGATTAATACATTTGGTTTAACTTCATTAAATTGAACCCATATATATGGTGCTTGATATACATCTTCACGTTCTTTTTTACCCCTAAAAAAATATTTTCTTTTATAAAGTGTTGTTTTGACATAGTTCGATAGAGCTTGTCGAGTTAACAGTTAATATTTTGTTTTTTTTTCTAACCAGATGACAAATCCAAAAATATTCGAATGAATACTAAGACTTGATACTTTTGGTGTCTCTCAATTTCTATAGACTTTTTTCTACAAAAACATTGTTTGGATCTTGTCAAACCAATATAACTCGATAAGCTCTATCCAATCATGACAAAAAAAAATAAATTATTCCTACTCATAAGGAAACCATTTAGTTTCAAGTGAACCACAATTATTATCATGACCATTCTCTGATATATAAGTTATATTCTTAATATTATCAGCATCAGTCGGATACTAAATAAAAGAAAACAAAAACAAGATTTTCTTTTTCTATAGAAACTAAATAATAAATTACTTCTCCATAACAATGAATAGCAATAGCATTAGATTTAGATCGACATCCAGCAGATTTAAATGCATGTTCATCTTCTAATAAATAACCTGGTTTTGGTATAAAACTAACAATCTATAATTAAATATGATTTTATTTATTTTCTTATATATATTTTTTTTTTCTTTACTTTATTCATTTTAACAAGTATACATGGTTTTCCATTAGAAAATCCATATTGATTTTGAAGTATACAATCACCTGGATTAGAAATTTTAAATTTCTTTGTTTGATTAAATCCATTATTATTATCTTGTTTCCAATAATCTAAAAAAAAAAAAGACAAAAGATAAAATTGTTCTCAATTAAATAAAAATTTTACTTACAAATTCTAAGATATTCATTAAGACTTTTAACATAAGGATCTAATCTATTTCTTGGAGCACTTTTATCAATTAAAATAAGATTTTTTTCTATATCTAATTGTGGTCGAAAACCTAAACCTAAAATGATTTTTCCAAAAGATTTATGTATTTTTGTTAATAATACAAACCAGGTGAAAGAGGAATTGTACGCGTACGCATACATGATGATTCTGCATGATAACGTGGACGATCTCGTGGTGATAATACCATAAATACAGCTAACATTGTACAGAAAAATCCACCCAAACCAAGATAGAAAAAAAAATAAAAAATTCCTAATTTTCCTAACAAAAAAAAAAGATCAATAAATATATAGATCTAAATTAATATTTTAATTTACCCCATCGAGCTCCATCTCTACCAAGAAATTCTCGTCGTTTTGAATTATATACTGTATCTATTAAAGCAGATAATCTACTACCCATAATGATTATTCCTTGTAATAAAACTAATCTAGAAAAAAAAATAAAATAAAATAAAATTCAAGTTCTTTTCAACAAACAATTTACTTCAGGGCTTTATCAAACTTATCTTCTAGAATTTTTTATCTAATTCAAATCTACTACTAATGTGTGTATGAAAAATATATTAGTTTAAGTTCATTTTATATAACACTGAAGTACGGAATTTTCGCTTGTTCCCTCTTGGCGAACACCTATTTTTGAGAACGCAGACAGAGCACGTACGACAAATTTCGAGAGAGTTAATCTGGTCTTCGATGGAGCGCCGCTCCTATGCTGAGTAAAGCACTCTATAGAGACCATCGGAAGATTTATTATCCTCTGTTGATTATATTATTATCTTAGTGATTTTTCTGTCTAATGTAATCTATGGCACAAAATATTCACTCAATTTCCGGTCACTTGAAGATAATCGGTTAGAGGCAGAATCACGATGTATCGCTCGTTTCGAATATGTATTCAGATTTTCCTTCTGATGTAAGATTGAACAACTATTAGTAATTTTTGTATAAAAATTCACATCTGTGTCTGTACAAAGTGAAATAACGATAAATGCTGCAACTCTTAGTTTTGTATCTTAGAATAGTTTTAACTCAACATTATTATAGAATATTGAATGAGATATTACAATAAGCGAAATCTCATCTATGCGTTTCTACTGACCAGTTAGTACTTATGGAAATTGGTATTGACCAAAAAATACTTTCAAAAATCTATCAAAGAAGTAAATAACGCACTTTATAAAACAAACAAAACTAAGTTATTAAAAACTGTTTCGATCGGAATAGTATACTGTACAATCATTATTTAAAACAATCTGATAATAGTTATTCAATCTTACTTCAGAAGAGAATTCTGAACACATATCTTAGTAGTCAAATCAAGAAACGATAAGGGTTCTATTCATACGACTAATAGTAGATGGACGAGATCGATGTTCTATTTGTTTGTGTTTATTTTATCATTGATTTTCATTTGGAAACTAAAACGAAATCGTCCATAATTTAAAAAGTTTGAATATTGATCGTAATCGATCTTCAATCTGTCTCTATTGAATTACCAAAAAAAAAAAGAAACAACTTATTTTGTTGTAATTCAACGTTCATATTCTATTGTATGGCGTAGTGCATTCAAACTGATCTCAAAACAAAATTGGTCGCAACTGTTTTTTTTTCCTCTCTATTTCTATCGAAAATCGTCCAATTTGAACGGTCAATCTATATATAATACGAGAATTATCTTGTTCGGTTCATGGATTGATTGAAAATATCTTTTGTTTTTGATTGGTCGAATTAAGATTGTATTGATTAGCGACCTCATATTATCTTTATCTAATAAAATAAAATAAAAATTATTATTTTAAATAATTTTTACTATACAATCAGTAATATTTCTATGAAAGAAAAAAAAGTTTTGTATAAAAAATTATTTTTCATTGGATTAGTTGTGAAATTACATTGGTTTTTAATGTTTTAAAGTTTTGATAAATTTACTCTTCTTTTTTATTTCAAAAAGAATAAAATCATGTCTCGTCTACATAAAATGTCAATTCAAGGCATACGTAGTTTTGGAAATCGAGATCAAGATACACAAGTTATAACATTTTTTTCGCCATTAACAGTTATTGTCGGTCCAAATGGATCGGGTAAAACAACAATTATTGAATGTTTAAAATATATGGCAACAGGTATAATGCCACCAGGTGCTAAAACAGGTGGAGCATTTGTACATGATCCAAAAGTAGCTCATGATACAGAAGTACGTGGTCAAATAAGACTTTTATTTCAAGATGTTACAGGACATAATGTACAAGTTCAACGTACACTTGTTGCAACACAAAAAGTAAAAGATAAAATTTAATTGATTTCAAAAAATACAAAAGATTATTTTCTTTCATAGAAAACAAATATTAGTTTAAGAACTCTTGAAGGTATTATTATTCGTGAAGGTATTAATGGTGAACCAATACAAATAACATCAAAATGTATTGAACTTGATAAAGAAATGGTTACAGCATTTGGTGTATCGACAGCTATTCTTGAAAATGTTATTTTTTGTCATCAAGAAGAATCAAATTGGTTTGTTGAGAAGATTATTTTTTTATTTTATTGAAATATAATTTTTTTTTTTTTTTGTAAGGCCATTAAGTGAAGGAAAACAATTAAAAACAAAATTTGATGATATATTTGCTGCAACAAAATATATGAAAGCACTTGAATTAATTCGAAAAATTCGAACAGAAAAAGTTTTATTGAATAGATTTTATTTTTGAGAAAAAAAAACCAACGAATTTCTTTTTTTTATAGTTACAAACAGTTAAAATTAGTCGAGCAGAAATTGGACATTTAAAAACATATCGTGATATGTTAGTTCAAGTATGTCAAATGTTATACTTTTAGAATAAAAAAAAAATATATAGTTAATTGTAATAGAAAAAAAGACAATATGCAGAAATTGATGAACGTCTACAAACATCGAAAGTTAATGTTGAAAGTATTCAACTTAAACTTGAACCTATTGATGTAAGTTATGTGAAATGATCGAACATTTTAAAATTTGCATTTTTTTTTTTGAAGTCTCGTTTGGAATTTATTGCTAAAGAAAGTTCGAAAATGGTTGATTTTCAACGACGTATGGGTATGTTCTTTTCAAAAAAAAAAAAAAAGGTATATATTCTATTATTATTCTTGTCTATTAGATCGTCTTACAAATGAATGTGAAGCATTAAAAAAGAAAATTCGTGAATTCAATACAATTATTGATGAACCATTTCAAGGTTCAGAAGATGAACTTAAATTATTAATTTCTAATTTTCAACGTGATCAAGATAAAAAGAAACGTGAACTTCAAGATGTAAGAACTCTTGTCTTTTTCTTTTGCATTATATAATACAGACTCCACAAAGAATATACAATCATTTTTGGTCTTCTTCAAAATCAGTTCAATAGATAATTGAAGACTAAAAATTTTTATTATACTTAACTGTTCTTTTCTTTATACTAAATTTAACAATTCTAAAAGTTTCAGATCGAAAATGTTATTCTGAGTCTTCATGTCTTTAGCATTACTAATAACAAAAAAAAATATAGTAGTGGTGTAATCAAGAGATACTGACGAGAAATCGCTTTTCGATTGGGACTATGTTCATTTAATAAGTAATAGAAATGTTTAGAATGGTTTGCTTGACTTTCGACTTCAGACTTTGTATGAACAGTGCACTCCGTTGTAAGTTGAATAATTCTGGCTAGAGACCTGCGGTTTTCAGTTTTGGAAAGAGTGGTATCAGCTTTATATGAAAAAAGCGTTGTCACATCGAATCTCGGAGGTTGCCTATCTGTGATTTTCAAATAAATTCGATTTGTCGGTGAAAAGTGATTATATCTTGAAAATTCAATATCTCGAGAAATAAAAGAACGTTTATTTTGGCCGAAACTTTCAGGCGATTCTAATGACTACTGTCTGTTAAAAAAAACTGGTCGTGGGTATTTTTGCAATAACTCGATAACAGTAACGGCTAGCTACCTGCGGCTTTCACCAACTGAAAGAGTAGAAGTTGGAACATCTTTTTCTTCGATAATGTATAAGACGAAATCATTTTAAAAGTAATCACTTTCGAAAAACATACAAAAGGGAATCATGTATTTACATGCGCAAATAATAGGGAATTTTGTTGATTTTTTTACCAAGTTTTCGCACTTTTCTTATAATAGCCTGGAATTTCGATAAAAATGTAATGAAAAGTAAAAAAGCGCATTGTATATTGAACTACAGATCTCAGGCCCCTCTATCTAAATCAAAATTTTATCTAGATGGAAAGCCATTTTCATGCATTCTTTTGCATGTTTTTCGAAAATGATTACTTTTAAAATGATTTCGTCTTATACATTATCGGAGAAAAAGATGTCCCAATTTCTACTCTTTCAGTTGGTGAAAGCCTCAGATCGCTAGCTGTTACCGTTATCGAGTTATTGCAAAAATACCCACGGTCAGTTTTTTTTTACAGATAGTAGTAGACCTATCTATAGGCAAAAATTCAGTAAAACGGCCATAGCTCTCAAACAGTAAAAGCTAGAAATCTGAGATTGGTAGCAAATAGTAGACAATCGTCTGCCTTACCAAATGGATTTTCATCGCTTAGGTGAATTGCTAAAATTTCACAGGTAGGCAACCTTGAGATTCGGTGTGATGCCGCTCTTTCCAAAACTGAAAACCGCAGATCTCTAGCTGCTTCTTAGCTGGAGTTATTCAACTTACAACGAACTGCACTATTCATCGGAATGGATATTAGTTTGCAGAATCAATTAATCTCATTAAGAACTTTGTTCATGCAATGTCTGAAACCTAAAGAGATTCTTTCGTAAGATTTAACGTAATCTACTAATCTTATTTTTGATTCGTATTAATCTATTAATGTTTGTTTTTTTAGTTAGAAGCAAAAAAATTGACGACTGAACGTCAAATAAAAAAACTTCTTGATAAACGTACATCAGACACAACACGTTTAGGTGGATATGAATTTGAAGAAAAAACAATATAAAACAAATTTAATTCGTCGTCAACAATTTATTGATGAATATATTCAAAATTCATCTCAAATAATTGATAAAACAAATTTAATTAATTATTTTGATAAACAAATTAAAATTGAACAAAAAACTTTAATGGAAAAACGTTTATTTTATCAACAAAAAGAAACAAATGTACAACAAGATTTAGATAAATATCAAGAACAACGTATTAAAATTGAATCAACAATAAAATTAAAAAGTTCACAAGTTGAAAAAACATTAAAAGAAATTCAAGATATAAAACAACAACAAAAACAAATCGAACAATATTTAAATAAATTAAATGATCTTAATAAACGTATTGAACGTAAAGAAGATGAATATCAACAAAAATTATCTAATGAAATAAATATTGAACAATTAAAAATTGATATTAGTAGTGATGAACAAAAACGTGTTCAACTTCAATTTCAACTTAAAGACTTAAATAATGAAATTGATAATTTACTTGTTAATTCAAAAATTAATACTGAATATGAAATGTTTAAAAAAGAAAAATTAGAACGTGATGAACAAATTAGAAAAATGTAAATATTTATATTAATCTTGTTTTTTCTTTTCTTTTTGAAAAATATGGCAAACTTTTAGTTTTGTGATTTATAGCTCGTTAGATAGAGCGAAGTGTCTACTTTCCAATGCATTATAGCTTATTGATTTTGTGATGAGATTTAAGAATATTACATAGGTCTTTTTGAACGTCCCACAAAAGAAAATAATGTTTTTTCTCAAAATAGGATTTTTGATTTTTACATTTCCATGCGTCCTAGATTTCTCCGCCAGTTTAAAGGCTAGAAAGTGGGGTTTGGTGTCATAATGAACGCAAAAATTAGCTCTACAGCTTAACATAGTCGCAGTTTTCGATTTCCCCATCAACGTTTATAAAAAGTAATTGTTCTGGATCTATATCCTTGAATTTTTCATACTTCGTCAGAGGAGTTTTCTAAAAACATAAGCTAAGAGAAAATTGAAAAATCAGGCCCTGTTAAGTTGTAGCGTCACATCTTGGCTACATTTTAAAACCAGTCCGACATTTCTAGCATTTGAAATGGCGAAGAAATTTAGGACGCACAGATATCTAAATTTTGACTCATAATCTTAAGCTAACTCTTCGTAGACTCAACTCGTCGAAAATACTTTCTGGTAATAGCTCTCTCCACTTCGTTTTCCAGGGCGCGGTGCACATCTTTGTAACAAATACTGTAAAACAGTCTTAATCTTTTGCGATGATCTATAGCCTCAGCTCATCAGGGAGCTGCGGACCCACAATAACGTGTAATCGGGCCTAACAAAAAATAAAAGGTTGGGTCGGGATTCGAAAAAAAAATAAAATTATGGATCCGCACCTTCCTACAGTTCATCATGCCGACAGATGATTGAAACTATAGTAAAAAGCTAATAAGAATTGTTCTGATTCGAACTTTTTCAAAAACACGTTGGTTCGCTTTGTTTCGAGCACTACTCCTTAAAAAAAAAGCATAATCTCTCCATCCTTTTACTACAATTATCTTGATTTTTCTCAGATGTTCTAAGAAAAGCAAATATTCTACTTTTAGTAAAGTTCGTCATCATGAAATCCTAACGACAATTTTTCAAGGTTCAATACCAGAAGAAGATTCAAATATTTATAATCAATTTGAAAAAGAACATCGTAAATTACAACAAAATCGTTCTATATTAGAAAAACAAATACAAGATATACGTCAAACATTATCTGGTAAAGAAGAAAAACGACGTTTATTAGCTGATGAATTAAAACGTAAAGATTTATTACGAAATGAATATACAGATCGTTTACAAGAACAACTTAATGGACAAATCTATGAAAAATATTTAGAAAAATTATCTAATGATGTTAAACAAAAACAAGATGACAAAGGAAGTATTGTTGGAATGGAAAAAACTTATCAAAAATTTGTTAATCAAGTTCGATCAACATTAAAAACGGATCCGTAAATGAAAATTTTTTCTTTTTTCATATGTTTTTTCTTTTTTCTGTTTATGATAGATGTTGTCCATTATGTTATCGAAAATTTGATAAACAATCTGAAGGTGAACAATTAATTCGTGATATGGAAATACAAATAAAAGGACCTGAATATCGACAAAAAATTGATCATGATTTAATATTATTACAAGAAAAATTTGAAAAATGTCTTAATCTTAAACCAATTCATAATCAATTACAAGATATTGAAGAAAAAGATATTCCAACATTAAAAAATTCTATAAAACAACTTGATAATGAAATAAATCAATTAAAAAATAAACAAAATGATTTAGAACAAGAATTAAATGATAAAATTTGTTTACCATTAGAACAATGTGAACAAATTAAAACTGATATTATTATGCTTAATAAATATATTAATGAAAGAAAAGGTTTTGAAACAAAAATTCATGTTTGTCAACAAAAACTTGGTAAATAAAACTTTCATATCACAAAACAGATCTCGAAATTGATGATCCGCTCTATAGAACCCATCGAATTGGTTCAAGCGATGCGCTAGTCACCGAATACAAAACGCGAAGGAATAAATTATTTCGTATCTTTGGGATGAGTCCGATGGGTTCTACCGCCCGTTCCGAATGACACATAGTGATCACGAGTTGAATAAGGTCGGAGAATTTTAATGCTCGAAAAAAAACAGAATGAGAGAACTTAGTGAATAGAAAACATAAGATGCGTTCGTATAATAGTAAGAAATTTTTTTTCAGTTAAGCAAATTTTCTTAGCCACAGGTTCATAAGTTCGACATTGTTTTATGACGACTTAATTAATTTCTAATATCCTTCAGCTTACAAAGACAAATAAAACCTGTAATTCTGCTCTTCGATCATATTGACACTATTGATGATCGATCAGTTCTATTTAAGTCATTTGCTTGCTTGGATGGCTTTTGTGAAACACGATCTAAAAGGAGTGTTGAAGCATATAGGGTAGAAATTTGGACCCCCCCCCCCCCCCCACAGACGTGACAGACAGCTTAGCAGCCGGTTGTCATAGACACCTTAGTAACGAGTCGTCACAGATGTGACCGACACCTTAGCAATCATCACAGACCGTGACAGACATTTTATTAATTAGTTGGTTAATAACTAATTAAGACCTCATTAACTAGGGTTAGTGGCTAATTAATTAAGTAGTTAATTAATTAATTAACGGCTAGTTTGGGACTGATTATTCACCTTATAATTAAGGATTAGTTGCTAATAGAATACTCCTCACAGACGATGACTAACACGTCTAATATGTTCATAAACACTCCGAGAAGCAATCATTGAGTATACAAGACTGTTGATATAAGATCAAAGACCATGCATCAACAACGTTTTATTATAACGTATAAACTAATTTTTGATTCCAGTTTTGAAGGAATGGGTAAAACAATATTTTAGAAATGTGCTCCGAAATAGATAAACTTAAAAGATTCCCCTGCAATTAGGAAGAGCAGCTGGATCGTGTTTCACATTTTAAACCCGGAAGGGATTGCGCTGAAAGCTTTTTGTATTCATGAGAATACAGATTAGACTACGGATATACTTCTGAACATAATTTCCTTTGAAAGGCTAAGATTAAGCATGAAAAATTCTAAAATAAGTATAAAAATCGATTAAACCTTCAAAATAATCAACAAAAGATTTATTCTGAATGAAAGTTTACTGGGAGCAAAGCGTTTCTGATAAAATCAAAAATCTGGAAGTTTTATGTCTTTTCTTGAGATATTCAATTTCCCAAAAAACAAAACAACAGTTTATCATAAGAAGACACAGTAATCGAGTCTACTTGAAACTCAAAAAAAGACATATTTGTTTTCATTGCAACCGACAATTGTATATATTCCTTCATCAGTAATTCACAATAATTTTGTTTACGAAAAACATAAAATTTATCATTGTTTTATTTTCTAGGTAAAGGACAAAAATCACCACCACGTTCACTTGATGAAGTAAAACAAATTAAAAATGAAATACAAAATCAATTTGATCTTCTTGATAAAGAATTACAACGTAAACATAAAGAACTTCGTTCACAACAAGATTTAGTACAAGAATTACGTGAATCATTAACAGAACTTAAAAATGAAAAATTAAAATTAAGTTCTGATATACAAAAAAAAGAACGTCTTGATGAACAATTACATAAATTAACAAATTATATTCAAACACTTAAAGATGAAATTGAAACTGATAAAATATCATTAGAACCAATTAATGTAAATTTTTATTCAAAAAAAAAAACATTATTCATCTTTACAATGTTATTTTATTTAGACTGATATTGATATAAAAACAAAAGAAAAAAATCGTTTAAAAACAGAAAAAGAAAAAATATTATCCGAACTTACAGAATCTGTTTGTATTTTTTTTTATTATTTTTATTTTAAAATTTTACTTTTTTATCTATAGATCAATATTCTAGAACAAAAACTAAACGAATTAAAAACATTAACAACAACAATTAATAAGTATGTTAACAAAAATGAACGATCAATCACAGGGATGACTTGAACCAACCAACATTAGGGGATGTAGCGAATATTTCCGACAATTGAGAGGCTGTTACACCCCCTTGGTCGGACCACCCTTGCTTATACCTTATCCGTTCCTTCTGTAGACATTTAAGAAAAAAAGCATAGAATGAACAAATGAGATTCGGATAGAAATTTTAATCTGTATAATAAAATCTATAATTTAATATTTAGTTTTGAAGATCGTACATCTAAATTATTAGAAGAACTTCGTTCTTCATTTGATCAATTAAATATTCAAGAAAAACAATTACAATCTGAATTATCAACATGTATAAAAACTATAGCTCAATATAAAGATGATTTAGCACGAGCTGATATTCGTTATCGACAATTAAATGATAATCAAAAATTACTTCAAAGTCAAATTGAACTTGAACAAAAACAAAATGATCTTATTGAACTTGAAGAAAAAACTCATGGACTTAAGTAAATTAATTTTGTTTTTTTTTTACGATTAATTATTTTTTTTTTTTTTTTGTATAATAGATTAGATTCACTTATACGTGAAGAAAAACAATTACGTTCAACACAAGAAACATTATTTAAAGAAAAACATACAGCATCAGCACGTTTAGCAACATTAGAACAACAATTAATTGAATTAGAACAAGAACTTGAACAAGAACATTTAAAAAATGCACATGAACGTTATCTTAAACATTTTATACAACAAACAATTGAAGAAATAACATCACAAGATCTTGAACGTTTTTATAAAATTTTAGATCAAACAATGATGACATATCATACACAAAAAATGAAACAATTAAATAAAATAATACGTGATCTTTGGAGAACAACATATCGTGGTACAGATATTGATGCTATTGAAATACGTTCGGATGCTGATGATGAAAATGCATCAAAAACACGTCGAACATATAATTATCGTGTTGTTATGATTAAATCTGGTTCAATTATGGATATGAGAAATCGTTGTAGTGCTGGTCAAAAAGTTCTTGCTTCACTTATTATACGACTTGCATTAGCTGAAGCATTTTGTCTTAATTGTGGTATACTTGCTTTAGATGAACCAACAACTAATCTTGATTTTGAAAATATTGATGGATTAGCTCAAGCATTAATTGAGTAAGTATATCTAATTTTACTGGAATCAATCTTCTCAAATATCCAACATGATATGTTATCAAAAATTATTCTATCAAAATTATAATATCAAATTTCTATAATTTGATCTTTACAATGTAGAATGATAGAATTTCATCATTCATTTATCGAGAGTTTGATTTCTAAGTCGATTTTTATTGGCTTAGTGTTGTTTTTCTAAGAATAACTGGTAGAAGAAAAATAAAACTTTTGCTTATTTTAGAATTGTTAAAAGTCGTGCAAATTTAAAAAATTTTCAATTAATTGTAATAACACATGATGAAGATTTTGTTGATTCACTTGGTAAATCTGCATATGCAGAAAAATGTTATCGTGTATCAAAAACACATAAGTATGGTTTTTAAATTATTCATTAAATATAATTAATTATTTCTTTTATTTTATAATAGTGGTCTATCAAAAATTGATGTTTGTAATATCACATCATTTGGTGCTCATTAATTAGATTTTTTTTCCTGGTATAAATGTACATTTTAAAATCTAGTCGAATTTATTCTTTTGTTGGATGTTATATTTTTATAAACAGAGAAAAAAAAACAAAACAATCAAGAAATGTTTTCTTGTTTTTTTTTTTTAATATATGTGTTGTGATATACTTTTATGAAAGAAAAGGATGAACTAATAAAAATAAAAGTTTTAATAAAATATAAGAATTTATGATTATAATTGGATACTTGATTCTTTATATAAATGATATTTTGACATTTAATAAGAAAAACTGTTGTCTAGCGTCCTCTATTGTTTATTAAAATAAATCAAAATTAAGATTTGATTAAAAATTCTTTTCTATTATTTGTCATTATTAAAAATAAATTTATAATTATTTTATATTTCGTTGAAGTTTATTTAATAATGATTGGATCGAATGACATGCTTATCATTTAATATTACAACACTTTTTTCCTTCTCTAGTGACAAGACGCGTGTCTCCACGTGAATGCATGCGAGTGCCTATTAGATCTTATGTTGAATGACAATGATGATTCATTTATGAATCTGTATTGCGATTATTATTAAACTTATATTCTCAATCTAGATTTTCAAGTATTCAATTAGTATGGCCAAACGATCATCAAATGGAAAACTAATTATTGATTATCCATGGACAAAAACCAAAGAAGAAATTGCTGATCTCTATAGTGTTGACGAAGATATTGGTCTTCCTGAAGACCGTATCCGGCAAAGTTTTGAACGATATGGACCTAACGGTAATTGAAATATATATATTTATCATATATTTCATTTATATTTTTGCTATATAGAATTACCAGCTGAAGAAAGTAAACCATTATGGAAACTTATTTTAGAACAATTCGATGATCTTCTAGTCAAAATTTTACTTGCTGCTGCTTGTATATCATTCGTAAGTTGTTTTTTTTATCATATCATATTTATAATTATTCTTTTTTTTTCAAAATAGGTTTTAGCTTTATTTGAAGAACATAAAGAAGAAGATAGTCTTGTAGCAACTTTTGTTGAGCCACTTGTTATTCTTCTTATTCTTATTGCAAATGCAGTTGTCGGTGTATGGCAGGTAAATATTCAATTTTATTTTATTTTTATATATAATTCGAAATAAATTAGGAACGAAATGCTGAAAGTGCTATTGAAGCATTAAAAGAATATGAACCTGAAATAGCTCAAGTTATTCGACAAAGTCGACCCGGACATATACAACGAATTAAAGCACGAGATCTTGTACCAGGAGATATTGTTGAAGTAGCTGTTGGAGATAAAGTTCCAGCTGATATACGTATAACAACAATTTATTCAACAACACTTCGTGTTGATCAATCATTATTAACTGGTGAAAGTGTTTCAGTTATTAAACATACAGATCCAGTACTTGATCTACGTGTTGTTAATCAAGATAAGAAAAATATTCTTTTTTCTGTATGATAATAAATTTACAAATTTTTGATATAACTAATATGCAAAAAAATAAATTTTAGGGAACAAATATTGCAGCTGGTAAATGTCGAGGTATTGTTATTGGAACTGGTTTAAATACTGAAATTGGTAAGGAAGAATATTAATAAAATCTCGTTGTCATATATGATTTATTTCCTTATTGCATTTCTAGAAGATTAATGATGAAGAAATGTTTCCAAAAATAGATAGTAGAATAAAACAATTTTCTTATGATTAGCATGAGCAACTATATCGTCTTTTTCATGTTAATCCTTCAGGGATTATACTAACAGGGTTTTTTTTTATAAACGATTATTAAGAAAGAAGATTAATAAAGTATTTATCGTAATTTGGAGATCGTGGGTGGTAGGACTGTACTCTGCGTACGATCTTGGAGGTTATCTATGTTTTTGATTATGTGAAAATTTTCAGAATGTATTCATTCATAAATTTCTTAGAATAATGTATTCCAATTGTTTGTTTGTTTAGGAAAAATTCGATCGGTTATGACCGAAACTGAAGAAGAAAAAACACCATTACAACAAAAATTAGATGAATTTGGTGAACAATTATCAAAGGTATATGTTATTTATCAGCAAACAATCATAAAAAATTTTCTTTTAAGGTTATTACTATTATTTGTATTGC